TTGAAGCTCTTTAAGTACATCCAAGAAGGGGAGGGAATGGATGGGGAAGGGAATCGGGGGCAATCCCTAGGGATTGGGGGTAATCCCAAGGTAATCTCCAATTGGTGGGTTGGAGATTGCTTGGAGATTACATTTGGGTTTGGTTGGGATGTAGGTGTACACCCAACCAAACACAATGTGCAAACTACACTACTCTAGGATATAGAAAATGTGAAGTACAAAGTGTGAGATTGAAGGCTAACACTAACACCCCCCCATAGGCATCAATCGAACTCAGGGTAGAGAGGGTGGTGCACAGAGCCCCATGGCGCCTAGGAGACGGTGGTGGGAAATTTTCCCAAGGGGCTTGGTGAACAGATCAGCTAGGTTGTAGTCAGATGCAACGTATTCCACTTTCAGCTGCTCCTGTTGGACAAGGTCACGGATGAAGAAGTGCCGAAGTTCAATATGCTTGGTTCGGGTGTGATACACAGGGTCTTGAGAGATGTGGATGGTACTCTGGTTGTCACACCAGAGGGTGGGGGCGGACTGTGGGAAACCAAACTCCTGGAGTAGGAAGGTGAGCCAACGGGCCTCCTGAGCAGCCATGGTGCCTGCGTAGAGCTCTGCCTCACAGGAGGAGAGGGAGACTGCAGACGACCTGGTGGAGCGCCAACTGACAATTCCGCTCCCAAGGGTGAAGCAGTACCCCTGAGAGGAGCGTCGGTCGGTCTGGTCATCAGCCCAGGAGGAGTCGGTGTAACCTTCCAGGCGAGGAGGGGAGAGCCCACCGAGTGTGAGAACGTGAGACTTGGTGCCCTGAAGATAGCGCAGCATCCGCTTCGCCGCCTTTTAGTGAAGATCAGTGAAGCGTCCAGGGGCCACGTAGCGAGAGAGGACACTGACAGGATAGGCCAAGTCCGGTCGGGTGCACATCATGGCGTACATGAGGGACCCAACAAGCTCTGGGTATGGCTCAGAGCAGGCCTCTGGTGTGGGTGCAGCTGGAGCTGTGAGGAGGTGTTGCAGCGGCAGCGGGGTGGCAACAGGTGTGCACAGCTCCATCTCAAACCGCTTGAGCACATTGTCGATGTAGAACTCCTGGGAGAGTGAAATGGTGCGAGCCTGGCGATCACGAGTGATCTCCATCCCCAGGTAGTGCTTGAGGTCACCGAGGTCTTTCATCTGGAGAGCCTTGCTAAGGGCTGCCTGGACAGAGGTCAACTGGGCCAAGTCCTTGGCAACGAGGATGAAATCATCCACGTAGACCAGGATGTAGAATGGCTCAGAATGACGGCGGATGAAGAGAGTCGGGTCACCAGTTGAAGGGTGGAAGTCCAGGGAGAGGAGGACTTCCTTCACCTTGTTGTGCCATTCACGAGGGGCTTGCTTAAGGCCGTAGACGGGGCGATTCAGCTTCCAGACAGTGTTGGGAGGGAATTCTCTTGGGAAGCCTTCTGGTTTGTTCATGAACACTGTCTCTTTGAGACGTCCTTGTAGGAAGGCGGATGAGGCATCCATGGATTTGATCTCAAAGTCTTCTCGAGCTACGACATCCATGAGCGTACGAATGGTGGGAGGTTTGGATGTGGGGGCGAAGGTTAGGAAGAAGTCACGGTACTGCTGCTGGGTGAAGCCCTTGGCTACAAAACGCGCTTTGAACACCGGGGCCTCGTCTGGGAGCTGTTTTACACGGAACAACCACTTGCCCCCGACGATGTTGACTCGTGGAGGTGGAGTCTCGTCGTCGAAGGAGTGGTTGCGGGTGAATGCTGCAATCTCCGCTTCCATGGCAGCACGCCATTTGGCAGCATGAGGGCCCGAGAGAGCCTCTTGGACGGTGAGAGGGATAGGGATGGTCGGGTTCTCCGCGAAGTTGAGGGAGGGTGAGTCAGTGATGTCGGGGAAGATGTGTGAGAGCTGAGGAATGACTGCATGAAGATCACACAGCTCCTCATGCCTGTCTTCCAGAAAGGTAGAGGGCACATCCCCCCCAGCAGGAGGAGGCTGTGTGATCGCCGTGTATCGAAGAACCAGCGCTAGTGGAAGAGCAGCGCCATGCGAACGAGTGCCATGAGCCACCGGAGAAGAGGGTGGGGCAGGCGGTGTCGGAGGGGTTGACTTAGGAGGCTTGGGCGGGGCTTCGTTGGAATATACGCTTAACACCTTAAGCGTACAGCGTATGTACGCTAGCGTACATACGCTATCCGCTATACGCTAGCAAATACGCTATACGCTCTTAGATTTTTTTTAGGGCTGCCCGAAAAAAGAATCGCAAAAAGATGTGGATTTCCTAGGTGAGCATTTCGCTGTAGTCAAAATTCAAGTCCGCAGTCTAGGCAAACAGGGATCTGACTTCGAAGTCGTCAGGCAAATGTTGGATTTCAGATCCCATCTAGGCATTGAAATCCATCCCTTCTACCGCATTGAACCCCACTCTATCTACAGGCTCCAACCTGTCAAAATTTCCCAAACAACAAATCTCACGGTACTTACCAGCCAGCCCTGTTGGCTAACCCTAACTCGTCATTTCGTTCCCGCTTTCACCAGAGTTCACGCTTCTTCGCTTTCTTGCTATTATGGTTACTCCACCTCCAATTGCACTCGTCATTCGGATTCAGGATTATGCAAGGGCAAGCCTTACTGAGAATAGGGAGTACTTTTATTTCACCCTGCCCGGAACGTTTTTTCTCTGCCCGAAAAAGCGTTTCTCCAAACCGAACCCCTAAGCGGATTGCGTGTATACGCTAGCGTATATACGATACGCGAATATACGCTGTACGCATATATTCCAACTTAGGGCGGGGGAATGGGCCGCCGGTGGTATGTGATCAGCTCGGGCGACTGTGGGAGAGCGGGTTCCTCTGTGGTGGGGGGAACCGGGGGAGGAGGTGGGGCCGGAGGGTGGGACCGCCGATGGTAGGTGATAGGTGCGCTCGGAGGTGGCTACACAGTCGGCGGAGTGGGAAGTGAGGGGGATGGAGGAGCAGCTGCCGAAGACACCGGTGAGGGCGGGTTAGAGCCCTCAGAGGGGGACGGTGCGGTGGCAGGAGGGGTAGGAGGTGAAGGGGCCGGAGCAGGCGAGAGGTCAGGAGGCGCATCAAAGTCTGCCCACACGAGGGAGGGTGGATCAGGGAGAGGGTCCCGTCCCGAAGTGGAGTAGAATGGGCGGGTCTCATCAAAGACAACGTCGCGGCTCCGGACCAACTGTTGAGTGGAGGGATTGAGGAAGAGGTAGTCAAGCGAGTCGGCGTTATGTCGGACGTAGATGCACGTCTGGGTCTTGGGACCGAGCTTGCCGCCGTGCTGCCGTCGAGCGTGAGGGTTGAGGAGGACATAGGCGGTGCACCCCCAAACGCGAAGAGATCGAGCAGTGGGCGTTTTCCCGAGCCAGAGTGTGGTTGGAGTGGTGTCGGGAAGATGCGGGTGGGGATAAAGGTTGTAGAGGAGGGCGGCGTGGTAGAGAGCGTACCCCCAGAGAGAGTGTGGAGCGTTGGAGTGGCTGAGGAGGCACCGAGTGATCTGCACCAGGGTGTGGTTGCGGCTCTCAGCTATGCCATTCTGCTGCGAGCTGTCAGGGAGGGTGAAGTTTTGCTGGATACCTTCTAAGGAGCAGAAGGCTTTGAGCTTGTCGTTGCAAAACTCACCACCACCATCTGAGTGGAGGCGCTTGACTTTGCGGTCAAAGGCGGTCTGTGATTGTTTAACCCACGCCATGAGGACCTCTGGAACCGCAGCCTTAGTGTGGAGGAGGTGAACAGAGACGTAGCAAGAGTGGTTATCGACGATAACAAGGAAGTAGCGATAACCACCTCGTGCGGGAACAGGGGCAGGGCCCCAGACGTCCAGGTGTACCAGGTCCAGTGGTCCTGCTGCGACAGAGGGTGAGGCCGGGTGGGGCTGTTGACGCAGTTTGCTCTTGGTGCAGTCAAGGCACGTGGGAGCGGGGGAGTCTGGTGGTGGAAGAAGTGAGGCTGGCAGGCCGAGTAGAAGTTTCTTGGAGGCCATGTCAGCAAGTGTGCGGAAGTTGGGGTGCCCGAGCCGATGGTGGTAGAGTATGGTCGGGTTGGAGAAACTGCGGCATGAGCATGGTGAGGTAGTCGCCGCTGTTTGGGTGGTTGACACCTGTGGGATGGGTACTTGTAGCGTGTAAAGGCCGCTGCTGTTGAGGGTGAAACGAGTCAAGACCTTGTTGGTGAGTGGGTCGAGGATATCACCATAGTTCTCGTTCTCCCAGAAGATGGTGCGTAGCCCAGCTTCCTGAATTTCCGTTTGGGCCACGAGATTGTGGCGGAGTGAAGGCACGCACATTCCAGTGACAGTGCCGGAAGGGAAGGCGGGGCACGGAACTGTGGATGAACCCTTGGCATGAGTGGTGAAGCTTGAGTCAGCTCCTAGGAGAGGGATTGGTGTTGCGTAGGGTTTGAAGGAGAGTGTCTCCTTGAGTACAGTGTGTGTGGCGCCGCTGTCGAGTGTGAACTCTATGTATTGTGGTGCTTCTGATGAGCCGAGGTACTAGGAGGAAGCTTCATTAATCATGGCGGACCGTACCAGATCGTCGGTGATGCTGCCTACCCGCTGCGCAGCTACTGCCTCACTCCTGTCAACGCAACCCGCCGGCGCCTGATGAAGAGCTGGGAGCAGACATATAACTACGTCCATTCCGCCACCCGCATGGTTGTGGAGTGGACCATTGGTGCGCTCAAGGGGAGGTGGCGTCTGTTCGGCCGGCGACACGAGAGCAAGTTGACGTGTGTGTGTGCGGGGACTGCGTGCATCATCATCCTGCACAACATGATCCTGCACACCGACGAGCCAAGGAACCGTACATTCAGGCATCAGTGGCGGGTGTGGATGGGCAACGGCCCACCGTGGTACCACCGGAGTGGCATGAGGACCTACGGATGGCGTGATGCTGACAGTGCTGGACAGTCCGACCTTCGCAAACGGCGGAAGCAGTTTGGGAAGCACATGCATCGTGCTTACCTGAGAAGGCACCGCCCGTGGCGCCTTGAGCGTGACTAGTCGGACGTCTTGTCATCGCGCGCCTCATCGTCCACATCGTGGGGAACGTCGCCAGCCTCTCCGCCTAAGGCGGGCGAGTCTTCGTTGCCATGCGTGACTGTGAGGGCGTGCGCATTGGCGGGCGGCGGCGCCGCCACGGGCTGGGGTTGTGGAGGCGGAGCCCTCCACAGCGTGGCAGCCACGTGGATGGCTGTCACGAGGAGTTGCACCGTGTTGCTAAGCTGCCGCAACGCCTGAGCATTGCATGTTGTGATTGTGTCGGCGATGACTTTCGCTGCCGCCATGGTGGCGGTCTCGTTGACTCGGGAACGCTTGGGGGGCAGTGGTGAAGGGGTGCCTGCAGCGGGGAGTGGTGGAGTAGGATGCATGATGCAAGCGTTTCCTCTGTTGCAATGTCTTTGTTATAATCAAAAGCTTCATAAAATGTCGCGATCACATGCAACAAGCGATATATCGTTAAAAAAAGTTTTGTCTGACGTGCTAGCTTAAACACTTGCCTTCAAGGCCTCCGGGCCGACGGACTTGACAATCAAGGAGAATGGCCCTGGGCGTCACCATTCCACCCTCGCCCATCTCGGCGTCGACGTGTATTGGTGCTCCTGGATCAGTGTGGGTCTCCCCTGCTCCGCCACCATCCAGCACATGCGGTTTAACGTTGGCAGGGAGCTTCTTAATGAGGTAAACATACTCAAACCAGGGTTTCTTCCGCTTGGGCGCCTTCCCTGACGTGCCGTTGTGGCGGAGAGTGTCACGGTACTCTGCCTCAAGACGCTTCCATGCGTGTTGCATGGCGGTGCTGTTGCGCTTCCACTTTGCGCCGCTCTTTTTCATGTGTGTGCGGAGCTTCTTCCAATATTGATTGCCTTGTTTGCAACGCATGTGCTTCAGATCGTCGCGAGTGTACCACTTAGCGGCCGCCAGTGCAGTAAGCTCCTCGTCGCTCCACTTGCGCTTCGCTTTCGCGTCACGTTTGCGCTTGCGTGTACTTGGGCCAGCATCCGAGCGTGCGGGATCCGCGTCGGACTCCTCCTCGTCGCTACTATCCTTCGCGTTCGAGTTGTCGGAGTCGTCCTCGGATCCGCTGGAGGAGACAATTGTCAGAATATTATTCTTATGTTCTAGCCTGTAGTGGGGTGCTCTATAGCGAGTACAACCCTTCTAGGGTTTGCTATTTGTATCCCCATTTCTGCTAGTTCATTCCTCTTTCTTTCTTCTAATTTTGACATGCTATCAGAGCACGTCGATCCCCCTGGATCGATCCTGTGGGTGGGCTTACCACCGCTTAGCTTCCGTCGCTACTACTGCTACTACTCTCTGAGCCGCACGCCCCGTGGCGTGCGGCATTTTTTCATCCCGCCGTGCGCCCAGAGGCGCGCGGCGGTTTTCTGCCCGCCGTGCGCCCCGAGGCGCGCGGCGGTTCATTGCCCGCTGTGCGCCCCGGGGCGCGCGGCGGGCTTCTCCCCTACGTCGCGGTCCCGCCCCGATCGTCGCGGCCCCGCCCCTCGACGCGGCCCCGCTCTACGTCGCGGCCCCGCCCCGGCCCGTCGCCGCCCGTGCGCCTGCCCGGCTCGGCCCCGCCCTACCTTTGCGGCCCCGCCCTATGTTGCGGCCCCGCCCTATGTCGCGGCCCCGCCCTACGTCGTGGCCCCGCCCTATGTCGCGGCCCCGCCCCGACCGTCGCGGCCCCGCCCCTCGTCGCGGCACCGCCCCCCCCCCCCCCCCCCCCCCTTTTTCTCCCCTCCCCCCCATTTCCCGTCGTCCGTCGAGGCGACCTGAGGGGGCCGCAAGCTGTGGGGTGGCGGGTATGGGGGTGCTCGGTGTGCCTTCCTCCCTTTGCTCCTCCTCCTCCGTCTCCCACTGCTGCAGCTGTCGCTGAGGGGGGTGGTTGTGTGGGAGACTCGGGTTTAGGGTTTAAGGGGGGTGCGTGGGAGTAGAGCTAGCCGTGTAGCAGTGGGTGTGTATCAGGGGGGTGGGACTGTGTGCGAGAGGTTGAGTGGAGGTTGTCAGTTTGTCGTTCGCAGCACCTGTAGTCCGGGGCGCTGTCCCGGTAGCCCAGTCGTAGCCAGCTGTGCCAGTCGCCCGTGGGTCCGTTGCCCGTCCGCCGCTATTTGAGCCGCGGGGCCTGTTACTCCTGTAGTCCGGGCGCTGTCCGGTAGCCGCTGTGCCAGTCTGCCTCCTGTTGCCCGTGTGTCTGCAGCTTCAGCCGTCGCCTCCTGTCTCCTCTCCCCTCACTCTCCCTCCTCCTCCTCTCTTGCCCGTTGTGACTACCACTAGCTTTGCTTATAATTGTGAACTCTAAACTATTTCTTCTTGAACTTGTGCTCTGAATGTGTGCTGACATTGTGATCCACCCTGAGCTTGTTTTGCTTTGCATGCTCTGCTGATTACACCCCACTTTGGCTATGGGGGTGTGTCAGAATATTATTCTTATGTTCTAGCCTGTAGTGGGGTGCTCTATAGCGAGTACAACCCTTCTAGGGTTTGCTATTTGTATCCCCATTTCTGCTAGTTCATTCCTCTTTCTTTCTTCTAATTTTGACAACAATCTCTTCGAGATCGTCATCGCTCACGTCGGTGTCACCGCCGCCGTCAGAGCTGTCTGCATGGGCACCACGCGCTCCGCTCGGGCCGGCGCCGTCCCGCCTAGGAGCTGCTTCCTGCATTATTTGACCACGCGTCATGTCGTTTTCGCACTGTGCCTTCATCCACTTGACGTAGGGCGGGTCCTCCCATGGCTCGTGATCATCTACCTTCTCCTTTCCCTTACCGCGGGCTCTCTGCTTACGGGGGGGCATGATGCGGATGAGGTTCTAAACTTGCCTGACCAACTAAACTGTCGCGTGGAGTGGGGTTTTTGGAGGTTCACAACATGCGTAGTGCGTACCTAGATCCGGAGGAGGTGGTGATTACTTTTCCGCCAAGCTGATGCAATGTAGTTGGGTGACCCTTCGGGGAGGGGTTATGCACGTTCCTGTCCCGACCAATGACAGCAGTTGGTGGGCCGGGAATTTTGCCGGCATGTGAGAGCTCGAACGTGGTGTGTGCGAGCCCAGTTTGCGAGGGAGATTTGGATATGCGATGTGGTGATTGGACCGTGTGACCCAACCCAACCAGGCGATAGGTTCGTTCAACCAATCGCCTTGTTGCTTATGCGCGCCAGTTTTCTGCCACCAACCTGCCGTTATAGGTATTCGTGGCATCCGCAAAAACCGCCTGCCATCTACAGTGGTCCTGCCACCACCCAGGGATACGCCCTGATATGGGAAAGCGGAAGTCAAGGATACCCTAACAAGCTGCTGCTGGATTTAGATTCAAATGCTCCACCCATGCACCAACAACCTAGTTTAGTGACCGAAACCCCACTCGCAAAAACGTAACCGGCGATATTTACCAATTGTTTTTCGCCAAGGTGCGAAAAGCTTCGTGGATTGGGCTAGCAACCAGCGGGAAGATTTGTGTGACTGGACTGGAATACCACTGGATTCCGCCTCGCTTGCACGGTGGGAGCACGTCAGCGCCAGCAGGCGCAAAGGTCGTTGACTCTGTTGACATTAAGCCAAAACGGATTTCGCTATAACGAGAGTGAGAGCAACTTTGAATGAAAATAGCAAGAACCACATATGATATGTTTTTATTTTAGTGAAAGCTTTATACAATAGGTTGTACAAGCAAAACACTCAGTCGTAACTAGATCATCGGGGCTCAAGCTAGGCTGGGACCCATCCCTCCCCGCGAAGGCTACGGAGGTCTGGCAAAGGTTTTGGGGTTCGACCAGATGGACTGAAAGTACGCCTCTCACCTCAGCCCCAAAGCCTCGTTGCCACAAATACGCCGCATGATACGTGCTTCATCGTCCGCTAAATTCCTAGCATGCTTGCTAGGTCTGCCGCAGTACACCCGCACATGTTTGTTGAACTCCACACTGATCCTCCGTAGCACCTTCCGAACCTAAACTCTGCGCGTTCTGCCCAAGGACACATCACACCTCCCCAGCCAGACTTGATGTACCGCCACCGCTACCAACGTCACCTCCGGAAAACCAGACCTTGCCAGAGAATCTCTGATACGCCCCCCCCCCTGCCCCAGTCTATCTTCCCCCCTGCCCGGGCCTCCCACTTTTCTCTCTTCTCCTCGACAACCTCCAGCCCTTTGCTCGGCACCCTGAGCTTCTTCAACGATGCCACCTCCCCATCCTCAAACAACATGGACCCCAACATTCATACTCTTGGATCCCTCAGCGCACCAGCTTCTTATCGCTTGAGACCTCTCGCCGGAGCCACACTCTCACACCGAAGCTCAAAATAACAATTAGCAAGATCTAGTCAGCTTTCTTCCTTTTTATGATACTTGGTGTAAATTACATATGTTTGAACAAGGTACTGCACCTCTCTCTCACATGCTTGGTGCAGTTCCTGCCTAAGTGCTTCACTAGCCGTGTGCACTTCTGTTCGTAGCAGTTCTGAGTACGAGAAACTCAATTGAAGAGCCGAAGTCAATTGAAACTAAAACACTCGGCAGTGACACCGTGTCTCCACCAATAGAGGCACGTGCCTAGATGCATGCACATATATTTGGAGCGCTGCACCTATATTCTGTCATCGACTAATAGCATAAGGCTTAACTTTTATGCATTTTAGTAATTTGTGAGGTGCCCCAAGACCTGTACTTTCAACAAATCCAGGAGTCTGCTGTATTGTTTGCGATCCAGCCAGTGTACTCCATTAAGAAACGGAAATTTTCACAAAGTATTCAAGCTTACAAGAACAATCGATAGTAAGTCCTTCCCAGTGACATGCTAAAAACATCATTAACCTTGTGTCATGAAGTAAAGGGAGTTGCACTATATTTTGACGACTTCACTCATGCGCGATTTCAGCGAAAACGCACCCGCAATCCTCAAAGTTGTCAAACTCGTCGAAGCTGGCACATACTGGGTTGAGAAGAATCGTGTCACATGGAGGAGTGATGTGTGCAGAGAGTCACTCTACAACGGAAGTGAGCTAGACTACGGGGGTTGGCACGAACTACTAGGAGTGATCGTAGCTTTGCTTGGTTCCTTTAGTGCTTGCACATTCACGGGAGAAATCGGCAAGAGTTTCCACTAGCAAAGTTGGAAGTACTGAATGACAGAACAAGCAATGATAGAATGACTACATCAGGCACCTAGCAACCCTGCAGCTAGCCAGGCCGACCGCCAGCACAGCTTGGTCAATCGCCTGCCAGCGTTGCGTAGAGGAGCCGCGCCAGCACTGCAGAGAGGCGACCTGCCAACAGAGCAGGTCGACGATGTGCCAACGCTGCAGCAAAGCGGCTGTCTAGCGTTACCCCGTAGAATATAGCAGTGCGCACGCTCGCAGGTGCGCGCAGACGATTGGCCCGACTTGCCTCGTTGGGCATCCGTCGGCTGTTGTTTGCGCCTCACGAGCCACATCGACTTCGGGATACCAGCCCGCAGTCGCCAGCGCCATCGCGACCTCGACGGCGTTCGCGTGCCTCCGCAGAACTCGTCGAGCAGGTTACCCGGTCGACCTGATCGGCCACCAGGTGCTTCCGGCCGACCACCACTGCCTCTGGTCGACCACTGGGTCCCTCCGGTCGACCACCAAGTCCCTCTGGTCGACCACAGCTCCCGTCGACCTTACCCCTGGTCGACGGACCCCTTCTATCAACCAGAACAGTCAGCGGTTGTCGTTGAGCTCCCCTCGTCGTCCGCTGCTCACTTGTCAGGTCGACGGACTGCTCCGTCGACCTCCCGGTCGAACTGTAGGTCGACGCGCTGCTCAATTGAC